AGAGTCACATTTATTGCAATCCGGGACTATGAGGGGCCATTCCCCAAATCTCATAGTAACAAGATGGTCGCAGCTCCAGGGTTATATAGGCAAAAAATCACAAAGGTATTGATTACATCTCAAGGTTTGGAATGAGGAACCTGGTTTGCAAAAAAGCAGTTTCCAGAAGCAGAAGCAGCATGTTAACTATAGTTTTGGGTCTCAGGGTCACTGAATTGACAGAAACACGTTATCTAGAGCCCTCGGGTCTGGAATGAGGAACTTGGGTTAAACTTAGGCATGTTATCTAAATTACAGTTTGGGGTCTCTGGAACACTGAGTCAACAGGGACACGTTAACTGGAGCCCTCTGACCTTAGGATAACTGTGCTGTCCTTCCCAGGTAAAGGAAAATGTGCTTTCTAAGACCAGTATGACCACAACTGGAGCCCTCTGACTTTGGGATAACTGTGCTGTCCTTCCCAGGTGGAGGAAAAATGTGCGTTCTAAGACCAGTATGACCACTACAAATGGGATTTCACATTACAATCAATAGGGTATTCAATCGAATGGGATGATTTATATAATTCAGAAAATCAAAATAACCTGTCCATTGTTAAACAAAGCAAATAGGTACCATACTTCACCAGGGGCTCAGGGCTGGTGAACATGTGGGGAAGGGATTCAGAGCTCTTTCTGGGACCTCAACCCCCGGCCTTCTCTTTTTCCTCGTTTCTGTGCTGTCCTTTGTTCCCAGTAGGTGTTGAACTTGTGTGTGTGTGTGTGTGTGTGTGTGTGTGTTGGGAAGAAAGGGAGGGGAGGGCCCCAGGAGGAGGGCTTGAGCTGTTCTGTCTGCTTTCTTTTTCCTTTGAGTTTACCCCAAACCCACCGCTCCCTGTCCTCTCTGTGCCCAGCCTCTCCTGTCTGTCCGCCTGTCTGTCTCTGGGAAGGGATGGGAAAGAGGGTCCCATGTCTCAGTCCCTGGGCCTCCACCTCCTTGGGAAGCCCCGAGTGTGACCTTTGCCTTCATGCCCCGCCCCCACGTGTCCTACTTCTGGCCCCTTTCCAGGCCAACCCCTACCCTCTAGGACAAGAGTGTCCAGGTCATACTAGTCTGAGGGAGGAGGCTGCCACCCCCACCTGTCCAGGAGGCTTGGGAAAGGAAGACAGTGCAGGCTCCTTGCTACACCTTTCAGGAAGCGCCTCAAAGGAACCCCCTTCCCCCACCTGTGCAGCCTTAAGAAGGAGAAAGGGGCGTGTGGCTAGAAAGGTGTCCAGACCCCCAGCTTCCACCCTCTTTGGCCTTAAAGGACAGCACCTCACCTGCAGTCATCCC